GTACTACCAGATGTTCACATAAAAACCTCAGGACCCATTTGCTCATTTTTTGTTTGTGTAGGGCTCTTCCTCCTTCCTCCCATCTCACATTTCATCACAGGGTAACAGTATTTTTTCTCCTCAACCTTTCACAAACAATTCACCCTCAGGCAAAACCCATGCAGACAGCTTTGCTTCAGGCTGGTAGAAGAAGGAAAAAGCTAGGAGTGAGTCATGACAGAAACATGTGGATGACTGGCGGGAGTGCTCTGAATAGGGTTATAGATCAAGCCTCCCTAGTGCTTTTCCACTGTAGATCTCATAGAAGTTCACAGATGTTAAAAACAATTATTCATGCTGAAAAACTTGACACACATTAAATGTACATTAGATGTCTTTCCCAAGACCTCATAGTAAGCTTTACAAAGAGTTGAAGTCAGGCCATATGAATTCCAGTGCCAGGCATTTTTCTCCAGTATGTCATAGCCCTTCAAAACATTGTTGATTGCTGCTTTTGAGCAGGATAAATTTTGTGTATTAAGGAGTACAGCATCCAAGTCTCCTGTAGTCAGTTCTGAAATCCTTGTAATGCTATGCTTAAATAAGTAGCAAAGCTTGTGAATACCCTAGAGCAGGTAAATGTTGCCACAGACATAAGTGAAACAGTCTTCCCACTCTCTCTGCCTGGATCTGTTATTATGTTGCTCTTAAGAATTATATGCACCAAAGGTCTGTGACAACACTCTGCAAAAAGTGCTCTTTGTGTATAATAAGAGAGACACAGTGAGGATGAGATAGTACAGAGCCCTTTGCAGGTGTTCTTCCTATTGGCAGCTACTTCCACACCAGCAGTTTATCCAGGCATTGCATCCTGCAGATTGTCATTTTCATGACCTTGTTCCCCTGGAAAAAGGAAGAAAAAAAAGAAAAAGCGCCTTTTCATGTTTTCTTGCTTAGTACCGGATCCAGGCTCTCCCCTGTGTTAAAGGAAAGGTTATAATAATAAGATCTTGCAGTGCTTTTCATCTTCATTAAAAGATACAGAGGGATGCGTCAGCTGCAGGGCAGACATGGAAGATGCAAACACAACAGGAGGCAGTTTTTTGTTTATATATGCTTAAAGAGGTTTTCCTGAAGGGCTTGGAAGTCCTTGTTATATACAAAGGAAGACAATTTATTGGTTAAAAATATTAACATAAAAAAATACTAGTTTCCTGCTTTTCAAACTTAACTAAAGCAGATATTGCTTTCCATAGCAACGTCTTCTGAAATAAAGAGTGAACTCACTCTTTCCTGTTTTCAGCAACATTTGTAATATCTTAACTGCTCTGTAAACAGCATTTATTCATGTCAGGGAAATAAAAAGAGGAAAAGAAATATTTTTGACAGCCACTAAGGTATCAATTGCTAGAATCTGTCCTCCAAACTGAGAGTATCACATTTGCGTATGTATCACTGATAAAAATCTGAGTAATATCTACCACATGTTTCATCTAAAGGTCTGGACATACAGAGGAGATAAGGTTAACACCATTCTACTACTCTAATAAGTTTTACAAGTGAAAAATCAGAAACACAAAGATACCCATTTCACTCTTACTTGCAGAAGTCAGAGGAAGTGCCTCAATATGCTGGAAGTGTGTTTTTCTATCCTTATGAGACTTGACAAGCTCTGTATTGCATCTTTCTCAGATGTTTTGATCTACTTTCTGTGCTCATCCTTCAGCAAAAAGACAAAGAGAAGCAGGTAATATAAGGGGTAAGGCCTGGATTAATTAGCTCTTCATGCAAAAAATATGTCACAGTAGTAGGAGAAATTTCAGAGAAGTATCAGGAGGAAATGGAAGTATTAACTCAGAAATTAGAGATCTAGCGGATCTTTATCCAATGCAAAAATAAAAATAATTAAAATACTGTAATATAAGAGTAACTGTTCTGTGCTACACTAGTGTTATTTTAGCTTCAGAAGTGCTGAGCAGAGGAATCTTGTTCCCCTTGGTCAGCTGAAGATACTCGTTATTAAGAAAGAGTGTCAGGAAACGAATATAAGTGTTATTGTGAGAGGAAACCTGTTTCAACTCCCATGATTGCAGTTTAGCACAGCTGCATCCCAAGAGAACAATAGCAAGATTTATTTCTTTTATAAGTCTCAATTTTACGAAGAATAAAACAGTCCTGTTAAAGAAAGCTGTGAGCGCAAGAACTGTCTGGGAGGATGTAAACACAAAAGAGAGAGATGAAGAGAGAGCACCAGAGAGCAGGGATGCACATGTACTGACAAAAGGGAAAATAAACACGTTTCTATCTAGTATTTAACTAATTTCTTTTGAGTACTTAAAGAAGAATACTAATGATAAATACTCCAATATTCTAAGTTAAAAAAAAATACTAAGAAGTAAGGCTTATTTTACACACACTTTATAAACACTACTGCATGAAAGGCACAAAAACTAGGTACCCAGGCAGACAGCCCACATGTGTTTGGGCATCTCATAGTCCATCTGCAAAAACAGGTCCCAGTGGGTGGTTTCCTTGTCTTCCAAAGGCCTGCCACTTCTGCCTCACACCTTATTTTTCTGTTTTGCTCTTGCCATGGTACAAGCAACTCCGAATTTATAAGCAATGCTTATGTTGTACTGGCTGCATGCACATGAGGCAGGTGCATGCATGTGCCTTGGCACTTCATCTCACCCCAGGGGCACAAGTATACACTCAAGATCCACAGTCAAGGATGTGGAAAAGGGGATAGAGAATGCTGACATGCCTTTTGTGTCTTGCCAGTCGCCACCTGGAAAAGGATCAGCAACTCTCTCTGTCTCTTCTGCCTTTAGTGGAAAACCTTCTGTATTAAGGCTTTCCAAATAGATGGACTTCTTCTTACTGCAGGTGTCTTCCCAAAAGGGGCCTCCTTCCTGTTTGTGACTGCTGGTGCTGTGGGGCTGGTTGTGAAGGCCTGTTGTTCCCCACCACTGACCCAGCACTCAGACCCCTTGCACTCATCAGCATTCTGTCTTTGCAGCGAACCCGGAGAGATTCCCATGCCTGGGGAGGAGATCAGCCAACAGGAAATCACATTCAATGCAGCGACCATGTTAAGTCTGCAAGAAACGTCTTACCCCAGTTTGCTGTTTTGCAGCTGAGACAAGTAAGTCTGCTTCTCAGCTGAGAAAACAGAACAGCTATTCTTGTGTTTATGAAAATAAAAGTTGAGGAAACAGAAACAATAAAAGAAAAAGCCCAGCCATCAGAAAAAACACTAAACAGACAGCACATCCTAACAAGATAGATAATCTCTGTGTTTATTTTACTAATGAAGAACTAAATCTGATATACATATACTTAAATGGGGTATACTGCTCCCATTGGTCTGCAAAGTTGTTTGGGTGTGGAGGAGATGAGAGAAATTATGTTATTTTGTGAGAAATACATAAAAAGAACTGCTCAGATGCATTCCCAAACACTGCATTAGAAGTCAAAATTCATTCCAATTGTTTTCATTTGGTTAATCTTTTTTTTTTCAAAAGGTCATGGCCTTCACCACTGATCCTGATCTATGTATTTCATTGTTCTCTGATGCTGATTTTGGTGTCAGTTCAGAAACATCACCATTCAAAAATGGGAGAAGTTATACATTTTGGTTATAACAGAGTGCTCAGTCAGGAAGTATTTTGTTTTCAGATCTGCTGTGGATAGAAATCCCTCTGACAAATCCTTCAGTCCTTCTGTTTCCCTGTCTGTATACAGAGAATCAGCTATTTTTAAATTGCTGTGAGAAGCCAAGATGTACTTTTTTTGTGTACAAAACCACAAATACTGGTTTTTGAAATGCAGTCAGCTATCCCTCTCTTTTATTAGAGACAATATATTGTGATAGACATAAATATCTGTATGTTATTGTTTGGATGCAAATGCAAATATTGTTAGGCATGCATAACCCAATGTTATTTTTTATACAACGCATTTGAACAGAAATTCATATTTCAGAAGGAAGGTAGAGCATGGGAAAACATGTGGTAGCCATACCATACCTTCTAACACTTCCTCCTATTTCTCCTTCTATTCCTACTTGTATATTGAAGATAGAATGAAGTAGAAGAAGCAAAAATAAAAGAGGATCAAATTAAAGAAATTAGTACACAACTAAAATCAAGAAAGCTTCCCACTGATTTCGACATATTCAGGCTATGACTTTTGAAGTTCAATTATTTTAAGAGAATTGCTTTGCTTTACAAGCCAAAAGATAAAATCACAGTTAAAAATTTCAGAATCGGTTTTATTTTCTTCAGCAAAAGAGTGAATGATCGTGCATTTATTACAAAAAGTAATCTTACTCTTAAAGTAAAATTTTGAAAAGAGACTAATCTGACTTTTTAAACCTTATTTTTATTGTTAACTTTTTCTTTTAGATAGGCAGGTTGTATTCCACTTCATGTCATTACTCACAGACATCCAGCAATGTGTTGAAGTCCAAATGCAGAAAAACATACCTCATGGATAAAAATTTTTATCTCTATTTGTCTGTCACCAGTTTTCAGAGAGTGAAGACATGATTACTGTCTTGGCTTTGTTTTCATTAAACATCCATTCTCAGATACTAAGCCCTCTGATGTTTTAATGTATGCAGTAATAAGGCACCCCAAAAAGCAGGAAATTGTTAAAAATCTTTGGGAAGTCTCTGAACTTGCCACTAACAATACTATGATAAAGTAATACAGAATAAACTTGTATCTGTCATCATTCAAAGGGATAGCAATTTAAGTTAAATTATGAGGGCATCTGGCTCCAGAATTCAGACCTTGTTTGTGGCTAAGGAATTCTGTATCAAACACAATATCCAGATTTTTTTGTTTGGAGCATATGGTTTTCTATTTCTTTGCATATAGGGGCACCAATAAATATGAAGAGATTTTTTAGACCATCTCTATTAGCAACACTTACATGAGCTAAGTATGCATTACTAACCCTTGCTGTTAAATGTTCTCATCCATTTTAAGATGTCATTGTGAGGATCACACACTTACCCAGTGAAAAGGGTGGGCTCTGCTATCCCCATAAGAGCATGCTTCTCGTTTTCCTGGAGCATGACTGTCCCTCAGATTTTAAGTGGAAGAGAGGAGGGAGACAGAATTTTCCTCCACTATAGCCGAGCCACATTCCATATAGCCAAGCAGATTCCCCCTTCAGTGTAGCTCTTATGAAGCAGTTAATAAAGAGATGCACCATGTCTCTTTTTCCCTAAGAGCATGTCAGAGAGGATGTCAGGAAGGATACCTCCAGCTGCTTCTCAGTCAGCAAGATGACAGCTCTAGATGGAAAATCTGGGGTATTTTCTACAAGGGAATGGTCTCCCTCCTGAGAATGCCACTTCTTTAGCTACCAGGCATTCGTAGCTTTTACTAAGTGAGAAACCTCCCACCACTTATTCAGTGGGATTGACAAAACCAAAATTAAATTCAGACATTAAACAACCAAAAGGGTCAAAAACTTCTTTAAAATAGCAAAAATTCGTAGCAGAAAGCCAGAAGTTGATACACAGAACTCTCTCTTACCAGCAGATGTCAGACCTCTGCTATTTCCAGAGCACCCAGAGGATCACCTTTTTTGCCTCATTTCCAGTCTTTCCAATCTAGATATCTTTATGGCACAAATCACCTCCAAAAGAAGAAGGAAGGAGCAGAGAAAGAAATTCCTCACATCCTACACATGCTGAAGCCAGAAGCCTACTTTCTCTTTCCAGTAGTTCCCAGTTTGACTCACTCCTCTTAGTTTTTAACTACCACTATAACTTTACATAATTTGCTGATTTGCAAATTTAGAATCTGAAATTGCCCTATCTTCTCCTTCTGTGATTGCTGTTACTATGTCCAAGGGCAGGATTGCTGGTAGCAACAACCACAACTTGGCTGCCAGCAGCCAGCCTTTGCAGGGATCGATAAATGTTAGATAGGAAGGATTAATTCAGTTCTCTGCAGTCAGAGGAAACAACAAACCTGGTACGATATGAGCCCTTATCCTCCGACCTGCTGGAAGAAATAATCTGAGGACTTCTATCTATAAATTTTTCCAACAGAAAAGTTGCCTGATATTATAATATTTGATGTCATTTCTATATTAAGGATGCATAATCAGTTGTTTTATTAACTAGTTATTAAAAAGTTCAGTGATAGACGCCCCTTACTTAGAACACAGAGCATTAAAGGAATTAGGACAAAGACACTCATCTTGACATGGTGCAATTTTTGAAGTGAGGCATACAGGGGACAGTGATCCTACTTGCAGAGAAAGACCAATTACTATACTGTGAGAAGCTGTAGTGGAAAAGGAAAAAGAAGTGAAAGATGGATGACGATACAGAGGAAGGAGGGAAGGAGGGAAATCATGATCCTTGCTAAGCAGAAAATCCCACAGGGCCAAACCATTAGGAACTAATATTTCCCCAGGAGTAATCTGATCTGTCTGTTTAGCTGGCACGCTGTGGGACTCAACATGGTATAAAAAAACATGTCCCCTAAAGTGCAGGTTTTCTGCTGATCCCACACAAAGAACACTGTGCTCAGGAGAAACATATCCTGATTTCATCTAGAGGGAGCTTCTTAGGAACTATTTCCAGTCAGCTCAGCTGTGTTGCTCCACACATCACAAATGACTCAGAGTCATGATAGCTTGAACAAATAAACAAGTAACAGTTGAGAAGAGAAATCAAAGCCACAATGCAGTAATGAAAGTCATGTTTCCAATTGTTTTTCATACAAATCATCAGAAGCTAAATCAATCAGCCTACAAAAAAGGGGTGAAACTTTGTTCTCCATGTCTTGAATTACCTTTTGTGTGATTTGCTAATTTAGCTTCTTTTGTTTTTCTTTGCCTTATAAGTAATTTTCTATAAGCAGAAAGCAAAGAAACATTATTTTGCAAGATATTTTCATTTGAAGGCAAATGAGCCATATGAGGCATTTTGAAGTAAGTTTTTTAACTATGTTTTCTTTTTAGGACCTTTCTCTTTAACTCAGCACTGATGCACTGCTTTCTTTCACAAAGGTTTTACTTCTCTCTGTGGGTGGTTTTGAGATTACAATGGCCTAAGAAACCCTTTCTTCAAGGAATCATCTGACAAGAAACATCTAAGTATATTCTTTCCATGTGCTAATTTGGAAACCATCCTTTTGAATCTGGAATGCAAGAAAACAAAGAAAATTTCAATTAAAAAATTAATTTCTCCTAAAGCAGGTCCAGCTTGTTCATCTGTTCATCAAGTCATGGCAAATCAACAGGCTAAAAAGCTTCCTCACATTCCTTCTTCCAACATGTAGGCAGGGATTTTTACTCCAATATCACTAGCAGGAATACAAAAACCAAGCATGTACTACACTTACTGTCATATTTATTCTAGTAAATTAGCCACACAATTAACACAGGAAATTAAATAGGAAGTTCTCATTTGTGTAGCACTATATAAATATAGCTAGAAGTATTAGTTTGCAAATAACAGCTTTTTCAAAAATGGTTATATGGGTTGCATTAAGGAATTTGTTTCTAATTAAGCCCCATTAATCAATACAAACTACAGGATAAATGGATAAGGATGTAGGATTCACTTTGATGGACAGTTTGCAGTGAAAAATGTTTTATTTGTCAATATTTCTATTCACATCTGGAAGAACTTAAATAATGATTCTTTGACAGAAGAAAAGAGTCAAACATTTGGAAAACTGTGGTGCATCTCATTAGGGACAAAAACAGAAGTAATTTAATCTGCATTCTGGGGAAAAGCAGCTACAGAACCCACTAAAAATTTCTCACTGACCTCTAGGTTAATAAAGGGTAGAATAAGTGTTGCGGCTACAAGTTCGTAAGAGATATATTACAGTTAAGCAGTCCAAGAAGTTTATTGCCTTTTTTGTGAAGGCTGGTTCATTGAGTATACTGTTGCAAACCTCATTAAAGCTCCAATTTCTAAATCAAATAGTTTTGCTTGGCAACAAGATCCTTAAAATGCATTTTTTCCTGAATTTCTGCTTTAGATTCAAATCCCAAGTTTTTCCCTTAAGGCGTATGAAACCAGGCTGCAACTTTTCTTCCATACATCTAGCCCATAAAAAAGAGGGATCATGCACAGGTTTCTGTGGCAGACACAAGGATCCCATCCTCTCTCTGCCATATGAAGCTAACATCCACACAGCACTCAGAGTGTAGTGGATGATAAACAGGATGATCAACTAAGTGCTTAGGAACATGCAACTTCCAGCAGAGATGGAGATGAGAACTAATTACCTTGTTTAATTCCCAGTCATAATTCTAGGGATTCATTTGTGGCTGCTTTAAGTGAGAGATGCAGACAACTGTAACCTTATAGCTATAATTTCTTCTCCAAGTTGCCCAGGAATGTGATGGAGTACTATATGAGAACTGCATATATGAGGAGTGAACCTTCAAGGACCACAACACAGAGGATTAAGTTTATTAAACTATTTTTGTTATAAACATTTGCTTTCAGCTATACAAAGCATTCTACTGGTTTTACCTTTCAGTCAGAAATTTCTAAGCTAGCCTTTTGGATTAGAACTATATACTTAGAAAGTTTGTTGGAGGACATGAATACAAAAAAATCCTCCTACATGCTTTAGAACAAAAGGGAAGTAGAAAACTATGCATTTCCCTCAATGCCTTGCAACAGTCATAGAGATTAATTTTGCACAACTTCTCACAAAGAAGGCTGGAAAAAAAAAAAAAAGACCTTAATAGTTTAAAAGGGTAAAAGTCAACATTTAGCAGGGAGAAAGTTAAATAAATGGTGCCATGTCTGGGTGAACATTAGTTTAGTTTTATGGAAAAAAAACAACAACCTCAAACTTCCCCTGGAGCCCCGTATTTCAGGCATGGGATATTTCTCTGCTTCTCCCATCAATTTTTGTGAGAGCAAGGCAGTGCAGCTCCCAACCCTTTCAGCTTCCCACACCACCCAAGCTGACCACAGGGGTATTTCACTTGGCTGTCCCTCAATCTCCCAGGGGACAGCTGCCATAGCATCTTCCTGGAGGACTCTTGGACTTTGCTTTCCTTTCCAACAGACAGCCCTGTTATGGCAGTGCTGCCATGCAGCAAGTGCACCTCCCAGAACAGCCTCATTAGCAGCAGCTGGCCAGGAAAGTGGGGCCCCCTCATTCAAGAGGTGGATCCTCTGGCCTGCTTGCAACTCTCCTAGCTGCAGATGCCAGGGCATTGCTGTTTGTCTGGTGGACTTTGTTACTGCAGCGCTTCAAACTGGCCTTTGATACCAATTTGTTTCCCAGAAAGGGATTACAAACAAGCCAATTTGTCATACTAACTTTTATATATATATATATATATATATAAACTTATTTATATAATTCTTGGAAAAACCATCTGTCCACACCAACAAGCTATATAAAAAGGGGTTTAGTCCATTAATAAATCCTTGAACTACCCATACAGATGTTTTTGGTGTGCTGGAGCTTGTGGAAAGGTGGCCCAGCTCACACAACACTGTGACACAGTAATTGATTAGTAATGAAGGATGTTGTGATACTTCTCTGCACAGACATGGCTCACTTGGCCTAAAAAGCTACTAGGTATTATATTGGGGAAGACTGAGTAGAAAATCAACATTAATTAACTAGCAATTAAGTAAAATAATTAGTAAAATTAAAGCTGGACCAAATCTTTTCTTCAAACCACACCTGAATGAAAATTCTTCTTCAAGCTGATATAGACTTATGTGGCATCACACAAGCTTCTACATCTCATATACAGATCCAACTGTTCAGAGATGATCAGGAATTTACCAGCTGTGTTTCCACACCCTGAGGTTATCAGTTATTTAAACAACAACATTTTACAGAAATATTCAGTAGTGACACCAGTTCTCATGAAGAGAAAGAGAAAGAGTTTCCATCAATCTGTTGAACAAGTCAAGGATGGGGTCATTTAGTTTTAGCCGTAATTTAAATTTTTTTTCCAGAATGTTGGCATCTCATTTTGATTACCACAAAAAAAAAAAAAAAATTCATGGAAGTTATTTTCAACATTTGCCGTTAAATTTGTAGCATTTGCTGCCACATAGAAAGTCTGGTTCCTATACACTGTCACCAAGTCCATTTTATGCTGTCCTATGAAGGAGTGAAATAAATTTCAATCCATGGCTGGAAACACAGATAAAGGAACATAAATATTCTACTAATACTGCGTTAGTGTGATAACATGATTACTTTTATGTTAGATGCAAACACCTGTGATTTTAGTTTTTTCTGCTTTATTTATAAAATTCTGCAAAGATGTTATCTGTGGCTGTTTCTCATTGAATCAAATTAATATGTTAGTCTGTGCCTGTGAGACATCCTACTGAGTTAAAA